CCCGGGTGGGGGGGGCAGTCTCTTCCCTGAGGCCCCCAGCTCCCAGATTATCTCGGTCATGCCTGGCTGCACAGTCAATTACAGGTGAAAGTGGTGAATCACTTTGAATATTTCCCCGACCCAGCATGGTTCTTGTCCTCAATTCAAACCCTGTGAAACTCAAGGAGAGCAGCACCCCACACCCACCGGAAACCAAAGACAGGCACAGAAGGGGGCAGTCTCTTCCCTGAGGCCCCCAGCTCCCAGATTATCTCGGTCATGCCTGGCTGCACAGTCAATTACAGGTGAAAGTGGTGAATCACTTTGAATATTTCCCCGACCCAGCATGGTTCTTGTCCTCAATTCAAACCCTGTGAAACTCAAGGAGAGCAGCACCCCACACCCACCGGAAACCAAAGACAGGCACAGAAGTTTAGTTATTCCTCATATCTCTTGGCGAGGAGCCAGCAGGTGCACTGACTGCACTACAAGCAAGGAAATGAGCTGTCTTTTTCCATCTATCCACTGCCAGTGAGTGCGAGATCTAGGCCAGTGGGCACTTTGCACTGCACCAAACATGCACAGAGACCTAGCACAGGGCTGTGTAGCCACAGGGCAGGCAAAGCCATCTTCACCTGGAAAGATCTGTAATGCAGAAATGGGAAAAGTAGAGCTCTGTATAGCAGGAGTGTTTTCTGGAGACCTCCCAGTTGCATCCCATTAAGGCACCTGAACCTCCCTCGTGTTGTTTGGAGCGCGAAAGGCACTCCTGCCCACTACTGAAACCTCACTGGCTGTCTTGGATGAAACCACTAGCAGAGATGAGGAGAGACCTGTATTTTGGGGTGGGCTTTGGAGATGCAATTGCCAATATAAATAACAGGAACCGAGTGCCCAGGTTCTTAGAATGGCTTTGAAAAGCTTCATCCTTCTGCTTTTCTAATGACCCGCACAAAGTCACCCATGTTGTCACAAACAATCATTATGAGGAAATATCCGTGTAGCCTCCTACAACAGCATTAGCCCTCTTTACTCCCTACAAAATTCCAGCACTAGCACAGGGCCTGTGTCCATCGCTGGGCATTCTTATGTTACTACAGGGATGGACAATCATTTTTAGTGGAGGGGGGCATTCCAAGATTTTGGAAAGTGGTCAAGGGCCGCACTTTTCTGCGGAGGGAGTGCGGGGTCTAGGATGGAGGCTAGGAGCAGAAGGGGCAAGGGACTGGGGGGCAGGAGATGGTGTGAGGTCTGAGAGGGAGTTTGGGTGAAGGAGGGGGTTGTGACGAGGGTTGCCAGATGGTTTCAACAAAAATACTGGACACACTTAACATTACATCACAATCTACATTCCATCTTATTTAGAAAATACCGGACATTTATATTTTCTCAATTTGTTTCCCAAACAGAAAGCTCAAATACTGGACTGTCCGGTTCAAAACCAGACACCTGGCAACCCTAGTTGTGACCTGGGTCAGGGATGGGGGAGTGAAGGGTCTGGGAGGGTGTTTGGGTGCAGGAGAGGATTCTGGCCTGGGGGAGGGGGTCCTAGGAGGGAGTTGTGACCTGGGGTAGTGGGTTTGGATGGTTACCTGGGGCAGGAAGTTGGGTGGGGGAGGGGCAGGGGTGCCAGAGGCAGGCTCTGGCTGGGAGGCACTTACTTAAACAGCTCCTGGCCAGCACCCCAAGGCAAGTTGGGCTCCCTGCCTGTTGCAGTCCCAGATCACTTAGATCTGCAGGCTATTCCCTCCACATGACTCTCAGCTCCTGGAAGGGGGAAAAGGCTTAGCTGCCCCCATCCCCCAGGCCAATCTCAGCTCCTATTGGCTGGGTGGTGGTGGTCCATAGGAGATGAGAGATTGGCTGGGGTCAATTCCTATTGGCTGGTTCTTTCTGGCCAATAGGAGCTGAGGAGTGGGCTGGGGGTGGGGAGATCACACAAAGCCTCCCCCTCTCTCCAGAGCAGAGAGCCACTGGACTGAGCTTTAAATCCGCAGCAGCTGTATGCCTGAGGGTCCTGGCAGGGTGGTCCATGGGCTGGATCCAGTGGCTTTGCAGGCCAGATCCACCCCTTGGACCATATTTTGCCCAGCCCTGTGTTCATAGAATCCCAGCCAGACCACCTGTCTCCAGTCAAATGGACCTCTCCAAATTCTAATCCAAATGCTTAACAGTGCCCATTGTGCCTGGGTGTAGTCTAGCTCCGAGCCACCTCTGGGTAAGAATCCTTGGCTCCAGAGGGATCAGTGGAATCTGATAAACCTCATCCCACATACGGATCAGGACAACAGACTTGCCACTTCCTCCCGGGCAGGTATCCAACCCTCACCCCCAAGAAGAGACCCGAGAGCAATGGATGCATGTAGCAGGTAACAGGATGACTTTGTCTGAAGAGGAACCATGGTGGGCACTGAGCCGAAGGTGTCTGCAATGCTGGATTTCCTACTGGCTGTGAAGCAAAGAAGCCCCTGGGGTTGGCAAGGGCAGCTCCTTTAAAGAACACACTTGGCACTGGGCACAGCTGCATTCTTTTGCTTCTTTTACACTTGGGCTAAGTCCTGGGAAGCTCAGAGCATGGGGAACAGTGGGGCCAATTCAGATATTTCTTAAATGAGGCAAATTCCACTCCTTGCCCTCCTAGTAGGGACCTTTTTCCCATCTGTGCTGACCCCAGGTCTACATTGGCTATGGAGTCTCCCCTCCCTCTTACCATCAGTCATCGAGTGCTCGATGTATAGGAATAGACTCTGCCAGGTTCCAACCTCATTTGGCCTGGGCACTTGTCCAGCTGGAGAGAGGGGCAGACGGACCAAACTTGACTGGCATTGCAGCCCTACGAGCCACTGACCAAAATACGACCAGTTTATAGACTCCCTTGCTTGGCCATCCAGAGAAAGTGAATCGATACCAAGTTGGCCGGTGCTGAGGTGACCCTAAAGCAAGCATGCACGCTAAGAGCTGCAGACAGCACCATGGGTGGAGGGTGAACCAGTAGCTTGGGGAGCTCCCCAACCCTGCCACTTCCACCAGAGGCCATGTCCCTTCTGCACCCACCAGAACCCCAGCCTCTTGTACCCTCTGCCCTAGGCTAGCACCCCTCAATCCAGGGAGTTCATGCAGTGCAGCCCTAACCTTCCCACCCCAAAGCACCGGGCATTACAGTCCCAGCCTTTCCAGTACTGGGGGCCCAGGCAGTATGGCCATAGTCTTCCTAGACCCACAGTGTCAGGCAGCACGGCCCTTGCCTTAGGGTGAGAGGAGTCCAGGCAGCCAACCATGGAAGAGCCAGAAGCAGGAGGGGGACCAGGAATAGGGCTACATCTGGCTTTTTGGGGAGGCTTAGCCTCCCCCTGCCTCTAATACCCACCACCTGTGGACAGCAGTGACACGCACCTGGATTAGGGACTGGCCTGAAATGCATCATACATTAAATCTCACAATGTCCTCAGCCCCCCAGTTTGCTTACTGCCATACATCAGCCCACTCAGAGAAATACAGGCAAACAGAACAGGCAGCTCAGCAGAGAACAATCAGCCTGGCACAGGAAAGTGAGTGACAGCAGCCAGGCAGAGCGGAAACCAGAAGGGGGGTGAGGATGGGGATCGCTCTGGCTTGCTATGTTTCTGAGACAATCCTGCCCTCTGCTGGTCCACATCATGGACAGTGATGGACAGCAGAGATGTGGCTACAAAACTTCTCTGGGCACGTTTCCTGCTGTAACTCCTCCAGGTGCAGTGCTCTTAGGCTGGCTTGTTCGCTGTGATAGCTTGTTCGCTGTGATAGATGGTGGTATGGAGAGTGCTCAAAGGTTCAGAGGCCAGAAAAAGACCATTGCAATCATCTAGTTCAGTGTTTCTCAACCTTTTTTTAATACAGTGCCCCTTAAAAAAAATACATTATAAGTACCCCCAGTACCTACAGTTTTCAGACACACAACATTTTTTTCTACCATTGAAACACATTTGTTTAAATAACTTAATCGTAGCCAGGTGGGTGATGAAATTTTTCAGTGTAAAAAGTACAAAAATAATAAAACGGTGTAAAACTTAAAACAAAAATTCAGTTTTCTCCAAATTTCAGCTGTGTTGACATACACCCCAGACTTCTCTCGAGTATATTCGTACCACTAGTTGAGAAACACTGATCTAGTTTGACCTCCTGTACAACACAGCAGCCACAGAACTATCTCTAAATTATTCCTGTTGGAACTTCAGTTTCCTCCCTCTGTCTGTGTGGATGGACAGCTGCTTCTGTAAGTCTGTCTGCAGGGCCTGGACCACAACTCTGGTGAGTTTTCAGAGCAGAGGGGTGTGCATTTGTGCCTCATGAAGCAAGTCATATTGGGTGTCTACCTAAAGTGTAGAACCAGTCAGCTGGCCCTGAATATTCAAGGAGGCACGTTAAAGGAAAAGAGGGGGGACTTGGAACATTTTCATAATTCACATTTGCAGAGACTTTGGGTTCCTGTGAATTTACATGTAGGCTCCTTCATGTAATTTTTCTCCTACTTCTCTGTCCAACACAGTCCCCTTCTACACCTTCACTCTCAACTTCACCAGCTCATACATAATATTAAGTGGTCCAGGGTACATGGCATTAATGTAATCCAGTCTTTCTGACTTCGTTGTGCAGGACAGATTGTGCTCATGAGTATTTCCAAGAGACTCATCAGCTTCGTATCTGACTTCACACTGCAGCGCAGCACTTTCCATCTGAGATCTCCAAGAGCTTTTACAGTTTAGGAAACTGAAGCAACAAGAGGTTAAGCCAGCAACTTTGCTGAAGGTTAGAGTGCAAGCCACAGGCAGAGCTAGGAACAGAACCCAGGGTTCCTACTTTCCTAATCCTACGTCCTGGCAGCTGAAAGACAGCTGTCATCCTTATGCTCTGTATTCTCAGAAAAGGGAAGAGGAGTGTGATTCCAACACACTAGCACCAATGTGAAGTTTATTAGTCATGAACCGCTAGTTAAATAATACAGGAAGATGACAAGTTTCCTCTCAATTTTTTTTTTTTTTTTTACTTAGCATGTTACAAGGTCTCGCTCTAGATACAGGGACCATCACCCAAACAAGGATGAGAAATGTTATTCAAGGGAATAGAGCCTTTAAAAGTCACCTGGCTGCTAGTTAACCCATTGATGGCTGGTATTTTCCATATTGCCAGCGGCCGAGAACAAAGGAGAACAGAGAATGTGTGTCTGTATATTTCAAAGAGGCTACTTGACATGTTTTTTCAAGTTTCTGCTAAGTGTGTGCTTCACAACGATAAGGAAAATGTGTTACTGTTAGGAAGGTTGCCTCCTTCTATGTCTCTCTCAAAGCAACAATCGACAGGACAGATAACTGAGTAAAAGCTGCTAAAGGGCTCACATCCCAGGGATGAATTCTACAGACTCACCTCAAGATCCCCACGTGTTGACTTGTTCTCAATCCTTAGCCCAGGGTAAAGCGAGTTTCATTCTTTTAGTTCTTTGTGCCCATGAAAAACATAATTAAAACGAATCACCTCACTGTGACATTAAGGAAGAAAGGTTACACACAGTCAGAAAAGTCAGAGTTACTCACTGCACTTCTATTTAGCCCCTTGCCCGGTGTTTTCTGAAGTTCTATGTAGTAAGGGATAAAAGGTGCAGGGTAGCAGTTATTACCAGAGGAAACAAAACTGGTGCATGTGAAAATTCTACACCAGTCATTTGCATCTAACCTATTTCTTGCATTTAAAACAATAGGACTCTCCACCAAAACAGCACCGTGGGCCTGACCCTGCAAGGGCTGATTTGACTAAGGTCACTAAGTGGCAATGCTAGGAGCTGAATCCTGGATACAGATTTTACGAGCCATGATTTAGCTACTAAGCCAGGGGTCTTAAACTCAATTTACCTTAGGGCCAGTGCATCCTTTAAATCCTCCGAGTGGGCCAGCAAGCACTCCGCTCTGGCAGGGCTCTGGAGGAGGATGGGAGTATCTATGCACCCCTCCACATGCATATCCTGGTCCTGCCTGCTAGGCTGTGCGCTCCCCTCCCACCCCCATGTGCCCCCCCGCCTGCTACCCCTGGCTTGCCTCCTCCAGTCCTACCATCACCCACCACTCCCGAGAAACAAGGAAACCAGGGCATAATGTCTCCAGGCTTGTGGCTTTCACCTGGCTCCCACGTGCAGCCCACCTATGTTCCACTTTGGTTTCTGCACAAGTGATTGATGAATAACACGAGCTCGTGTCCTGAATGGGGGAGGGACAAAGCGGCACCACCAGGGACTCTATGGCAGGAAATTCACAAGCATCCCTGAAAAAGTTTCGATGGCCTTGCTGCGGGGTTCCATTGAGATCACGGCGAGCATCAACATCCAGCTTGGCCACATGGATTAGCTACACACGGACGTGTGCCGCTCACAGAAACACCACCAGCCTCCCACCTCTCCGAGCCCTCCGCCTTGCACTCCTCAAGCCACAGCCACCTACCCTGCGTGTCATCCCCTGCTTCCTGGTCCCGGGAAAGCGGCTCCTCAGACCGGCTGTGTCTGTCAGCAGTGGAGAACAGTTCCTGGCTGCCAGACACAATCGGCGACCTCGGGGGGAGCCCTTGGTCCTCATCTTCCTCAACCTCCTCGTCTACAATTTCATCCTCTGGGTGAGGTCCTCTGGGTACAGCCTCCTTGCCCTCTGAAGTAGCCACACGGCTCTTGGCAGTGGAGGGGTGGGTCACCGCCAAGGAAAGCATCCAGCCCCTTAAAGAAACAGCAGGTCTTCAGTGAAGCACCTGTTCACATCATGGTGATGTGATGAACTGAGATGATGAACTGAGACAAGTCTTTTAAATCTTTGCTCTGCACTGCAGCATGTCCTGTTTATACCCCTTTTCACGCCAAGATCAAGAAACGTGCCCATACATGTCCCAGTTCCCGTGGGTCACTCGCAGCTAGGAGTGAACAGACACCTCTCTCCAGACACTGATCAGATCCAACAGCTCCACAGCGGTCCAAGCGGGAGAGCGTTTGTTGTGACGGCGAGGCATGGGCATCTGGGAAGAAATCATGAGATCTGCGCACGCTGAGCGAGCATGGGGTGGTTGGGCGGGTTCTAGATGCTCAGGAAGCAGGAAAAGGGATTTAAATTTTGTGGGGCTTGCAAGGCACAGCAGGTAGCCATTCACCCGACTGCAGGGCAGCAGAGTTCAAACTGCTGACCAGAGGGGTTGATTGGGAATTGAGGCCCGTTTCTTGGAGGCCAGAATTAGCAACAAAATGCCCAGAGGTGTCCACATGGCATGCTTGTTGATAACACAAGGAGGGGAAAAGACTAAAATCCCTCGTGGAGCTGGAAGTTTTTTTGTCAATGAAAATAGCTGGAGCAGCCTCCCACCATGGGATCATGGTTAGCTGGTTAAACACGTTTAACTGGTTAACTTTGTAACTGGGATTTTACATCCTTAATTAAAACCCAGGATAGATACAAAAGGCAAACTTTCCAAAAGTTCAGAATTGTATGCAAACTTGGTGGCCCTATTCCAAGAGGAAGAAAACCCTTAGAAATATGATAAATAGAGATAGGGACACCATTTGGAAGTTGCTCGACTTCAAGATGAAGTTCAGCAACATCTTCATACAAATTCACTCTCTCAGATACTAACGTCACTTCTACACAATAGAAACTGGTGTGCTGCAAGGGGGGGTGCCGTTCAACGTGGTTAGCAATGGTTTGGTGATGCAATGTGGAGAGGCCTGCATCATATGATACATTTCTAATCCATGATGCATCCCTGCTAAGGGGCTCAGGGTAGGGGGGGGGTCCCTCCTGGCAGGGCTTTCCCTCACCCCTTCCCCTGGGATGCCAGGGGCCTTCTGCCTCCCCTAACCCTCCCCCAGCTCGTATGGGCCTTCCCCTCCACCCTCCATTGCTGTGGTGAAGGGCAGGAGGGCTACTTACCTGGCCTGGTGACAGGCAAGATGGTGAAGCCCCAGCTCTGTTGGCCACTCCCTTGGTGGTGCGGCTGCCTCCCCCAGTGGCAACTTTCAGTATCACTTCCCTCCTATCTCTGCCCCCTCCCTTTCCATGTTATGGAAAACATTCCCATTCCTGGTACTTCCCATTTTCCTGGCACAACCAAACCCTGACCTTGCTTCAAGTTAGGATAGATGATGCTGCATACCAAATTTGGTGGTCCGAGCTCTTACCATTTAGGGGGAGTTCTTGAACAGACAGACAGATGGACATTTCTAAAATATACACTTTTTTTTTGTTCAGCTACATATGACAGTGATGGCTATTACAACCTGATGCAAGTTGGAGGCAACACAAAAAAGGGTGCAAGAAGAGAAACACACGTCTTTGGGAGTTTTATGGAGAAGAGGAGAGATTGAGATCTGGCTCCAATATGATTTCAGCTTTAGCATTTTGAGCCAGGGACAGGCTACAATATTTAAATCTGCTGGCTCAAAAAGGTCATGCCTCAGTACCTAAGTCCCTGAAAGAAAAACCTTATGGCGGGGGGTTGTGCAGCCACCTATGATGTATTTGGTTTAATGTTTGGCTGCTAATGCTGGCTCCATTTCAATCAGAAAAATCACAGCCAGGCGGAGGGCCATGGCTGGAGAAATGTCCACACCCACTTGTAAATACAGTTCTGATTCTCCCACATGCATTGCAATAACAGCCTGCAGCTTATGGTTACAGAATCTGAACGTTTCCGGACATGACTATTTTTATATATGAGGCGACTTGTTTAGAGAGGACATGGAGAAAGTGAAACTCTTTTAGTAGAAAAGAAGACGGAAAGCCCTCATTTGTCAGTGCACAGCAACATACTAATTGCAACCTTACTTCTGAGCTCCTGCTGCGTACAGTGAAGTTATTTTGGGTGTGGGAATGAAAGGCTTTGAAGGCCTGGTGAAATTAACTCCTATGCGGAAGTTAAACCAAGGCTTGTGTAAAAGCTGGGCCTTTTCTGAGCGATTCACAAGCCTAAATTGTGTTTGTCTTTTGCACAGGCATGAATTTCACCCTATTGGAAGTTCCACTGTATCTGGTCAGGCCATCCTGACATGCTCGCTACCATGGGCTCAAGTGCCAACTCGGTTATCTTGTGCGTATGTAGGCATACATGCACATGTGCACAAGACAAAAAAATACATATACAGATGGTGACTTTCAAATCACAACAAAAAGACTTGTGCTAGTGTCAAAGCAAGACACACCGGTCTAAGATTAACTAAGCCAGTCTCTAACGTTTATGTTGGAAACTGTAATATACGATAACCACGGGGAACACAAACACACACACCTGGATCAGTTATTATGCAATTGTCTTATACTAGTGTTTTAAGGCCCAATCAAGATTGAGGCCCCATTGTGGGAGGTACCTGACAAACACATAGGACAGGAATGGGCAACCTAGGACAGTGAATGGGTTGCAGGAATGGCTCGTCCATCTGTAGCCAGACACGAACCCCATCTTGTTTCCCTCCCCCAGAGAGCAAGAGAAAGGCAGTCAGCCTTTGATGCCCTGGGAACGCAAGTGTGCTGCCTGTCCCTGACTCTACCATAAACAGAAACCAGACAGTAAATGGGCTAGCTGACGACCCGGGGCCTCCCGTCGCCCTGATGGCTAGTACCAGTAGTTGACACGCCTGCACTGTCCCAGGAGAGGAATCTTTGCCCATCACATATCAGAGGTGCCCATTGTCTGCATTTTCCCAGGTGTAAATTATGCTTTGCACCCTGCGTGGGAAACTTGGCATTCAAAGCCATTTTTCCTAATTGGCCACTTGAGACCAGGAAGAAGCCTACATGACCCAAGGGGTATAAAGAGGGGTATAGTAGCCCACCCCATTTGAGCTCCAATCATCTATACCAACACAATTTAAAAGAACTTCAGCCGGTCATAAGGGACTCACTGCCCTGACCGTTGGCTGACACCATCTCAGTGGGCTGCAAAGTTGTCACAACCAAGACAGCCTCCCAGAACAGAATAGATTTGCTAACTGTGCTTGTGCACTTAACATTTGCAGGGAGTACCAATTAAATCATAGTAGCATTTTGGCTGCAGAGGGAGCGCACGGCTCTCTGTCACCATTGTGCACAATCAGCAAGTACCTCACTTCACGTGCCCTTGCTTTACATGTGTGTCAGATTTGTAATACCGGTAGGAAAAACACTACTTGGACAGAAACCAGCAGAATCTGGCAGCCCCGCGCATGGGCAACGGTAAGCAAAATGTCCTGTGGGCCAGACATAAAACTCCATGGGCTGCAGGTTGCCCACCACTGATACAGGAGATGCATACACTCCTTGAGTTAATCGATTGGTAATTAACTCAAGGTTTTTATGTTCTTTGTAAAAGTTAACCAGGACACATCCAGAATGTTTGTGGTTTTTTCTAGAGATCAGTCTACCCCAAAGAAAAATGGACCAGGCAGACAAAGGTTACATGACAAACCCAAGGTCACACAGCAGGTCAGTGGCAGAGCACATAATAGAATCCAGATCATCTCACCTAGCTCTAATCACCCAGTGCTCTGACCTTCCTTAAAATACACTGCTTTTAACAAAGCTCCCTGGGGAGCACATAGCTCACTAGAAGCTGCCTGATTTTACCTTTTAATTTTTTCAGTACTATTTTCTTTCCCATCAAAGGTGGTGGGTTAAACAAGCTCAGCCTTTGAAGCCCATCCCCTGCATGGATTTGGAACTTGCAGAGAGTTTTGAGATTGGCTAGGACTTCACAGCAATTGTTACACAGGCAGACCAGTGCTACAAACACTGAGTTGATTGCATGGTCAGGTTGGAGGAGAAGCTGAGGTCTCAGGGAACCTTATGATCCAAACGTGGGTGAAAAACACCCTCAACTGATGGCAGAATAAATTGCTTTTCGCAGGGCTGGTTTCCATGTCCAAATTCTGAAAGCCCCTGCCAGCACCTCTGCTAAAACAATAGCCATTTCAACTGCTGGCTGCCCCTGTGATCCTATCACCAGTTCCTCAGCTTTTGTGCAGCCTATTTTGGTCAGCTCCAACCCAGATCAAATTAATTCTCCAGGCTATTTCCTTATTGTCTGCTCTGGGATCCCTGCTCTTAAAAAGCACAAGCTTGGATGTTATTCAAGATACCACATGCTTCCTTAACGTTCCCTCTTGCACATCTAAGGCCTGGGTTACACTATGTACTTATGCCAGTAAAAATATAATGCTCAGATGGCAGGGGAAGGGCTTCCCCCCTCAACACAGCTACTTCCTCTCCAGCAGGTGGAGGACCTACACTGACAGGAGAAGCTCTGCTGTTGCAACAGGTAGTGTCTTTACTAAGCACTACAGCTGTGCAAGCTGCACCACCACATCCCTGAGCATGAGGACAAGCCCTCGGCATTTATCCATCTAGCTGGAACCCTGCTTTTAACAGTTCTCTTGATTTTCTTCCTCCCCACCTTCCTGTTTTTCTTATATTTTGGAAACACTCAACCCCAGCCCTGTTCCACTCCCATCTGAACACCCAGTTGGCTGCAGGCCTGCTTTTGACACATCTGTTTTACAATCTCTTCCTTATCCCTCCCATTTTTCCACAGAGAACTGTCCTGGGTCCAAACAAAACAAGATTATTTTTCCAATCTCGTTTTCTTCCATCCATTTTAAATTCCTGCAACCCAGGGAAATAAATATGAACACTGGAACGTCTTTGCTGCAAGAGCAGCTCTCCGAGGCTGTATGTTATCCATCTGCTTGGTGAGTAAAAAGACAAGACAAGCCACTGACCTGCGACTCTGGAGCAAACGTCCTTGTAGTCGGTCAAGCATTCCAGTCTGACATAGGGTAAAAAGACATTACATGCTGGCACCAGGATTCTGCATGGATCTGATCATTTTAGTGGTATGGGTCTGTTTTAAAACATGGACATATTAAAGACAAAAAGCAATGGCTCCTTTAAGTGGCCAGTAATGTCTGCAGCACGCTTCTCCTCCTGCCTCTCCCTACAGCACTGGGGGAAAGGCAAAGTTATTCAGCTTTTCCCTGCCTTTCCCAAGCGGGACTGATTAAACATCTGGGGCAGCTTAGAAGCCATCCCAGATGTGGTGTGCTAAATAAAACTCTGACCTCCATATGTTTTCTGGGAAACAGTACCAGTACTTGAGAGCTCTGTGTGGCAGGCTCTTCTGCACCCGAGACCCATTAGCACAGCAATGGGCAACCTAGTCTAGCAAGTGGGCCATGTGAGTGGCCCTCCTTGATCTCAGCGGGCTGCAAGATTGTCATAACCAAGATGGGCTCGTGGGATAGGGTAGTTTTGCTCACTGCCCTTTTGCCTAGAATTTGCAAGGGGTGCCAATTGAACCATAGTAGCAATTTGATTGGATGCAGAGGAAGTGCATGGCTCTTACAGTCAACATTGTGCGTAGAGCCCAGCAAATCTGTGGATATCCGCTTTCTATCTGTGGATATCCACACCCGCAGATGCGGATAGCCACGGTTCATTTTTGAGGATACAGATGCAAATGTGGATACAAATGTTGTATCCGCCCAAGGCTCTGGTTGTGTGCAATCAGCACACACCTCACTTCACGAGCCCTTGCTTTACGGGTGTGTCACGTTAGCAGGGGCAGATGACCGTTCTGCGGGGCCCCGGGCAGCATAATTCCGCGGGGCCCCCCTTTACCACGGCGCATGCGCGGGGCTTTCTGAAGCGCGGGGCCCGGGGCGGCCGCCCCGTTCGCCCTGCCCTATATCCGCCCCTGCACGTTAGTAACACTGGTAGGAAAAGAAACTACACAGATAAAACCCAGTGGAATCTGGCAACCCCGCGTGTGGGCAATGAAAAACAAAATGTCTTGCAGACCACACATAGAACCCCAATAGGACGCATACAACCTGTGGGCCACAGATTGCCCACCACTGTGTTAGACTTTCTCGTGAACATCCTCCAAGCTCACCCTTTGACCAACCAAGTCTGCACTGAGTGGTGCTGCTGCACTTTTACATAAGACCAACCATGTTTCACTATCCCTTGCACCAACACAAAGAAGGGGCAGATTAATACACACACTGCTACTTCACCTCCCAGGCAAAGAGCTCTACAAATAAATGAATCACTCCCTCCCCATCTCAGGGAGGCATTATTTCCCTCCCTTTTACAGATGGGGAAGTAGCACCACACAGTTGAGTGACTTGCTTAAGGACTACAGCACGGGAACAGCTGAGCTGGGTATATGAACAAGCCATTCTAACTGCCTACCCTGTGCTTTCACAGCTAACCCCATGTCCTTCCCAGACAGCTCTGTCCTGTGAGATGCTATGCTCTTCAAATTCCCCCGGAGCTCAAGGGCTGGGACCAGGACACTACCACCACTGCGATGGGGCATAGAGGGTATCTAGGACTCGGCACAGTGATGATTTCACATTGATGAACAGTGAGGCAGGAAGAATGTGTCTACACTCACAGCAACTGAGTTTCCCAGCTTGGATCCACACTCATGCTAGGGCACTAGAGAGCAGTGTAGACAGCACTAGGATATTCCAGCTCCCCCCCCCACAAGTCGGAGCAGGAACATTTACACAGCTGTTTCTAGTGCACTCGTGTGAGCCTGAGAACCCAGGGTGGGAGGCAGTGTACACATACCCCTTGAGGCCTACTGCTGAGCAAATCACAGGTCTCTGTTAGGAATTCCTGTACACAGCTGTGTTTGCACCAGCAGCTTCTGCAGACCACTAAAATATCGCTGTTGTACCTGGACCAGTAAGCCTTGGGTGAACTCCCTGTTCTCAGACGGGAAGCTCCCCTTGTGCATCAATAAGGAAGATGGCTGGCGAGAGCCTATAGCGAGAGCGGAATGAACAGGGTCAGAGATGGATAGAGGAGCAGCAGAGCCCTCGAGTACCCACTCACTCATCTCCCGCCCCTCAGGAAATTCTATCAGACTCTTCCACAGGGATGGACCCAACAAGGTTCTACAGACATTACTCTGAAACCCAGAGATCTGACGAGCAGTCTCCTCTCTCGAGGCTTTTTGGAACCAGCCTGTAGAATTCTGCAGCAAGGGTGCAGCTCTCTGCTCAGGCGGATGGGGTGGCAGAAAAGAGCTCACTGTTCTCTGCATAGCGATACAGTAGTTTTTTCTGGGGCGTTCCGGAGCCGCAGCGCACTAGCCCGTCCCAGTCTCCACTTACCGCTACCCACCAGGACTGTTGTTCACAAAGGAACGAATCGTGGCCCCAAGGCAAAGGAAAACAGGATGTATCTTGTAGAAAACAAACCTCCAACTGCACAAAGCCAGCTTCTCTTCTGCTGACTTGCGTCGGCAACCACTTGCTGGGGAGTAGTCACACTCATAAGCCTTAGCTGCAGGACAGCAGCTTGGGCATATAGAACTCCCAAGCCATTTCAAGTTTAGCAGTTCCTCTGCATTCGGGAGGACTGAGCTCTCTGGGCACCAGGGAGTAGGGCCTTCCTACTGCAGCCGAATTTTAAGGAGGTTTTATTTAGGAGGAAGCTCTGAATTCCATTGCTATAGGAAATGGCATGTTTTCAAAGGACACTCTGCCAGAACCTGCTGACAGCCTCAGTGGAATTTTCTCCCTGCCCCCCAACCAGAATGGCTTCCCACACAAAGAATTCTCTCTCTGGTGGCTTTTTTAAGGGCAGGGCACCAGATCTAACATTTCCCTCACTGCCTAAATCACATGGCAGCCTTGACACTTGTGTGATCCTGCTGCTATGAATGTCCCACTTACATTTAAAGACAACAAGTAGTCCTGTGCATCTTAGAAACTAACAAAAATAAGGTGCCACAGGACCACTCGTTTTTAAAGACTACAGACTAACACGGCTGCCCCTTTGAGACCACTTACTACATCTACATCACAGAGTAAGGAAAGGAACCTGCTACAAAAGCAAAGACTAAGAAAGTCAGAGTCCCCTTCTCTCCAAGAAGGGATTAACCAAAGGGTCCTTTTAGAACAGGCACTTCCCTTAGCTTTTTGAAGGGTTCCCAGGGTACATCCAGGGTGAGCAGAGTCCTAGGGCTGATGCGATATAAGGTCACTCTGATAAGCATTGCAGCAAAGGAGGCTACCCCACTTAAAGTGCCTGAGGATACGATGAGGGAACCGAGGTTTTTACGTGTTGAGAAGGACCTAACACCAAGTAGGTATTAAAAAAACGAGGAGCACCTTAGAGACTTACAAAAAATATATACATCTAGCGTCTTGAGCTTTTGTGGGCAAAACCCACTTCTTCAGATGAAGAAGGTGCTACAGGACTACTTGCTTTTTTAAAAGTTACAGACTAACACAGCTACCCCTCTGAGATCAAGTAGGTATGGAGGAGGGGAGGGCGTCAGCTCCTACCAAGGAAACCAGGGACTCACTTCTCAGCTACTCTGTTCCTGCAGGAATGGGAGGCAGAAGGTGGGAAGTTAACGACGCTTTAAACCACCATTGAATTCTCATATGTAGAGCTTTGTGGTGGCTTTAATTTATGCTCTGCTTCCTACTGGTCCTGGGAAAAAATAGACTAGCCGTAGTGCAATGCAAATCTGAGCTACCCCTGTACGGGACAAGGGAGAGGGAGGCAGAGGGCAGGGAGCCTTCAGGCCAGCCAAGTAGCCTTCCCTGCACAGAAGATGGTTTCTACTCATACTGAACTCCTATATGCTGCCGGAGCAGAATAAGAGAGCCTTAGTGCAATCACGGATTCGACCTCTGATTTCTAATAACGCCCGCGCATTGTCAGTGATAATGGCAGCCTGGTACAGACATGGCCGCAGAGGGGAGTGGTGTGCACAAATCTCCTACCCACTGAGATCACAGCCTCCTCGCACTTCACCAGTGCCACTGCTGGAAGAAAACCTCCTACCCCATCATCCTTGAAAGCCAACTCTCCACATGGTGTTTGGCCCCACCGGCCAGAACACCCACCTCTCACACAGCACTTAGCCCTACCAGCCAGGGAAGCTGCCCTTCACCCAGTGCTTGGCTCTACCAGCCGAGACAACTGCTCTCCATGCAGCCACATAGCAGCCACCGGAGCTGGAAACGGGACCACGGTGATGTTGCCCCAGTAGGGACAGCCTCACTGCAGTCCCGGCTCCAGCTGCATCACACCTGGCTGCCAGCCACCCCACTTACCCTACTACTGCATGGGGAAGTGGGTAGGAAGGGAATTCCCTGGGAACCGAGTGGGCAGGGCTAAATAAAAGCTGGGGGCGTGGCCTGGCAATGTGCCACAGCCTGGCAGATGGGTGTGCAGACCAACGGTTGGGAACCACTGTCCTAGAGAAAAGAATGCAGAGAAGCCTTTCAACCCAGTCACACCATCACTTTCTAGTTCCTGCACACAGCCACCTCCCCGGCTTCATCTTGTAACTCCGCAGCATGAGATATCGACAGGACAATAGACATTGTTGCTAACTGGGTCAAAGGTTCTGCTTAGGCAAGAAGAACTTCCTCTCCCCCTGGCCTTTTCTTCTCTACGTTGTCAGAGCTGGTATCCATCGCCTGGTGATGCTCATTCCGGACACCACCATTAGGAATGTAAAGGCCCTGACACACCCTTCTGTTCCACAGTCTCATATTTGTTGGCAGATCTGCCCCACATTAGCCCACTGCTATCACAATTAGGGATCTAAAAGGTTAACTGATTACCCGGTAAACATTAGCCTTCCCAGCATGCTTATCTGGTAACAGATTAACTGGAGGACCAGGGGAGGGAAGAGCAGTTCACCCACCCATTGTGGCCCAGCCAGCAGGACCCTGGCCATCCGCAGCAACCCCCAACCTGTGGTATGACAGGACCCCATCCAGCTGGAGCAGCCCCAGCCGCGGTGGACTGGCTGGACCCCAGACACACAGTTAACTGGTTACACTATTACAATTACATCATTTAGCCAGGTAACTTTTTAAATGGATATTTACAACCCTAATAAGGATTGCTATTCTGCCTTGTTCCCCCTAGCTAAACAGTAGGGTAATCTTAAATGATTAAAACAGCTACCAACTGAGATACAGATATCATACACACAACAGACTCTTCAAGTCCTTAAAGGCCGAGTAGAGCTTGGAATTACACAGATACACCCCGTGAAGCAAATGCCTCTACAACTTTGCAAACATGGGTTTAGCCCTACGGTCCTTACCTAGACCTTCCAGTGATTTCATTGGGAGTGCTGTGTGCGTAAGGACAGCGGGATTAGATTATGTCCGTTACGCTGCAACAGTGCACACGGCACCTCATGGAGCAATTGCATTTACAAAATGGTTGCATTGAACACATCAGCTGAAACACCCATTGAGATTTTTAAGAGCAGGTTAGACAAACACCTGTCAGGATGGGCTACAGGATGCTGATCCTGCCGTGAATGCAGGGGTGAGGACTTGATCACCTTCCGAGGTTCGTTCTAGTTCTAGGATTCTAAACTGACACCATGTGTAGTCTCATTTACAGACATTTGGAATTCTTCAGTCAGACTGCTCCTCATAAAATCTCTGTATGTTCACGCATCTACTCTAGCTGAGCCAACAGACTTTCTGGACCCTGGGGCAAGATGTGGGAGCGGAGGCCAGCTCCGGACTTTCGGAAGGGGCAGGGCTTTGGATAGAAGGGGTGAGGCTGGGGCAGCGGCCCTCAGTGCTGTCTGCAGCATGCCATGCTGTGCTCTGGTAGCAATTTAAAGGATCTGGAGCTCCAGCTGCTGTGGTAGCTGAAGCAGCAGTCAGGAGCCCCAGATATATTTGAATCACTGGGCACCAGGGCAGTTATCCTCTTTGCCACACCCTCCCCATCAGCATGCTTGACCTACTCACACATGCTTAGTCCTGTCAGCTTGCAGGTGCCCAATGTCCCACAGGAAATTAGCACTGACATTACATCTGTCTTAGGCATTGCTGTCTACCAAGGTTTTAGTTCCACTGCTGGTTATAGCATCATTACAGGTGCTCAGAAAGATTTCTTCCCCTACCCACTGGTCTTTTTCTATTTGCCAGGCACCGCTTTCCTGGATTTCCAATGGAGCTGAAATTCACATGCCCGGTTGTACTCCCCCCACCCCCATTTGGAACATCAAACCAATCCAAGAAGTGTGTGGCTTAAACCCAGACCCACACAAAGCAGGAGAGTCCATATCTCAGCTCTGGGAAGAGAGTTGTGGTACCCCAAGATTCTTCGTGCTGTCCATATAATCTTTTCCTTTTTAACCACAAATTCTCAGCAGCAGAAGTGGGGAGGAGGGAGGCAGGGGGACAGCAACAATAAACGGATATTTTGAAACTGGAGACCATTTCCTGGCAAGTGAAAGGTCAAATTTCAAGTTTTGTTGCTCTACCCTATAAGGTCCCGAACGCCTTCAGCTCCCATTGGTATCAGGTCCGTGAGGTGCAGAGCACCGTGCTCTGCACCTCACAGGCCTGAGATGCTCAAAGTGTGATTCCAGCCCCTCCCGTTATTCTCACCCTAGTCCACAGGGAGCTAGCATGCTAAGAATAGCAGCCACAGCAGCACTGGCGAGGTGCACTGAGTAGAACCAGCCTGAACCCCATGAGTGTGTACTCAGCGTGGCTAACTGCGCCACAGCTCCCCCTCCTACTGCAACTATCGCGCTAGCTGGATGTGCGCTGGCATGACTGTGAGATGGGAATCACCAACCTACACTCACCCTCAGTCCCACATGGGATGGCAATCCTGCTACTGGGTTTTTCCAATCCACCAGGAGCTTTCACATTGTAGAATGGAACCAACCACAGCCATGTCCTAGACTTATGGAGGGGGAGGGGTGGGAATTCTTTCTCCAGCAGGCACAGCACAAAATAAACAGTCCGGGTTGGCAAGGCAAAGGGGTCTCTATGCCACCCTCGTGTCTTCCTGATTCTAGGCTGCTGTGAGGGCTAATGAGGCCCCTGGCATAGAGTGGAGAGCTACATGCTACTCTTAATTTGCAGCAGCCTTCCAAACATTGCTGCATAACTTGGAGCAGCACTCAGTCTCCTTAGCACTAGAGAGACTCCACTGACTTGAGGGAGGGGTGGAGAGACAGCGTGGGGAAGGAAAATCTCCCCTGGCCAGCTGCGGGGCTTTTACAGCCTTTGTACGCTGCCAGAATGGGACACAGAGGCTGTGGTGCAGGAGAGAACCTCTCTCCATCCTCTCTGGGGAAATACTGCTTGGCTCGGAGAGGGCGGTGTTTGGGAGTCTCATTGAACACCAGCGCCAGGGGGTTTGCAATAGTTTCATGAGCTCGCAGCCAACTGCGAAACCAGTCCTCTGCCCTCAGACATGATACTGCACTAACGAAGACGGCCCCGGACATGACTCGGCACTAATGAGGCCAGCCCCGGATGGGAGACCACACTAACGAAGACAGTCTCAACAGCAAATGCCTATCAGCTCATTTCTGCTATCAGTACCAAGCACTGTGCCTCTGACGATCTTAGCTGAGACGCTAGTGGACTTTTGCCCACATGGTACTGGGGGGAGGGAGTAGGAGGGAATTGTACAACACATATCTATGGTATGTTTGGCACTAAGTCTGCATTATGTTACCCGTCTCTCATATCCACAAATATTACACACCCAGTACATTCACCAGGGTAAGAAAATAACTGCCAAGACGACAGATGAAAACAGCCAGCGTGCACTTTTAAAAAGCAGGTTTGACTGACTAACCACCTTGCCCTCCAGAAATTAAGGAGCTGGGAATCAACAAGAAACCCCTATTACTACTCATTAAGCGAGATGAGACTATGAGCATCTTTCAACTTCATGGCAATTTGCTGGTGATTGAAAAAATTAACAAGGAATGAAGTCAGACTTTATTTTTTTAAAGCTTGGAAATAGAAGCTTCCATTTTACCCTTCCTTTTCGGTTCACTCTCAAACACACCAGTGCAATAGAGGGCTGGGAAACACTCTGAGGACCTGATTCTGGTCTTCCACAGGTGTAACTACACAGGCAGGATCAGAATCAGACTCTCCGTTGCTAGTGTGGCCACGAGGATTTAACCTGTCACTTGCCGGGAATAAGTGTATGACAGTGGCTGAGTATTCATCAAGAACTGGAACCGGGGCACATCTAACAGAAGGGAGGGGAGGGCAGGCAAAAGCAGAACATCTGGGAGGCAGCAACAGGAGGAGACAAGATGCAAGGGAGGCAGGAGAGAGCCAAAGGAGACGGAAGGAGAGATCCATGCTTCGGATAACCCAGAAGGAAAAAGAACACAGGTAAGAAATAAGTTAAGATCATGAGACCAGGAATCTGAGGAGCTGAGCAACAGGTAAATTACTGAAACCACCTAACAGTCTGTGCAAGGGTTAAACACTGTAGCCAAAAGAATGTTCACCCGCTTACCCAGAGCACTGGATGGCCAGTCTTTGTAAGTGGCAGTGATTAAAGATTCAGCGAGACACTAGAGTATTTCTAAAAGCACCGATTTCCTTTGGGAACAGCCCATGCCCCTCTGGCATGGCAAGCAACCCTCACTCCTTGCAGCAGGGTCCCTCAAACCTACACCAATCATTCTGTATGAGCAGAAAGTCAGGATTGGGACATCGCATCCTTTGACAACAGACCTCTCTGCTTTGCCTTACTGCCCTTCTGGCAGGATCTTCCCCTTTTCCCCAGAACTAATATTTGCACCCTAGCCATGTTCTCTTCATAAGTTTGTGCCTGTGAATATGTCACACATGGAGTCTGCCTGAGGTGAATTAGAGGCTGGTTGTCAGGTCGAGTGGCCTGTCCAGATGTGGATGAATTAATGCCCCCAGGTGGCTGTTCTCGCTTCAGCTGCTTTTTGTCTGACACCCAGTTGCCCACTCAGTTAAGTATCGTATCACTGACTAATCGACTAGTCGATGCATTTTTCATCGACTATTTGATTAGTTGATAGGGCGGTGCTGCCCCTTTGAAAAACCGTGGTGGCGTTTCAGAAGGGTAGCGTCGCACGGGACCTGGGGTCAGCTGGGGAATCCAAACTGACCCCGGGCTCTGCGTGGCACTGCTGCTTTGAAATGCCACGAGGAGCCCAGCATTGGGCTTCTCCCCCAGGCAGCACGCAATGTTTCAAAGCAGCAGCGCTGCATGGAGCCCGGGATCAACTGGGGACTGACCCCGGGCTCCATGCAGCGCTGCTGCAGCATTTCAAAGTGGCAGCGGCACATGGAGCCTGAGTCCCCAGCTGACCCCGGGCTCTGTACAGCACTGCTGTTTTGAAGTACCCTTCTCTATTCCCCCTCCCCTTGCTCCCTCTATCTGATGGGGGGAGAGAGAAACTAGTTGGCTATCTGATAAGCATTTGCTTATTGGATAGTCGACTAGTCCTTAACATCCCTATTGCTCACATCTGGAGATGGCTTTGATCAGGGGCGAGCTCACAAGCATGTGGACAGGACGAAATGACCACATAAAAGAGAGAAACGAATACTGGCTCAGAGCAATGATAATGGGAGATATCAGCCCACGCCCCCGGGGTTACCACAGACCAGGATGCTGTTACCACAGCCATTTGACTGAACTGAGGGAATCGTGCTGCAGAAGCAATCTGGACATCCGATGGGTGAAACGCTTGCCAATGCCTAAACAATCTCACTCGGCCTGCAGTGGCCCATTGCTCTGAGGGTGGCCCTTTGTAGGGGCCTCGGGTGAATTCCTTCCTGAAACAAGAAAGGCCTTTAACGCTTGTGCAGAGAGGTCCCAGCCTCTTTCGGACCCGCCCTCTTTGTCAGACCTGCCTTTGCCAATTCACCAGTCACCTGCCCTAGTCCCCCAGCATCCTCCTGTCATTGCTCGTGCTCCTGCTGTGCGTAAGTCTAACCTACTGGGGCCAAATTCAGACCTGGTGCAAGTGCCCGCAGAGCAGAGGGGCAAAGCCTGCACACATCAGCTCTGAGTTTGGCCTCGAGTGCTTTGTAAACCCCACGTACAACTGGAAGTGGTGCCTCCCTACAGGAGACCCGACAGACTTGCCAGGCCCCTGGGCAAGGTGGGGGGTGCTGCTCTTGAAAGGGGTAGGACCTCAGGCGGAAAGGGCGGGGCTGGAGCAGCCAGCCCCCTGGACCACATGGAGCCCTGCTCCATCCCGGCCAGCCCCCAGAGCTGACCGGAGCACACTGTGTGAGGCTCCAGTGGTGATTTAAAGGGCCTAAGGCTCCAGCTGATGCAGCCAGGAGCCCTTCTGAAGCACCGAGGCCTGGGGGAGTTGTCCCCTTTGTCTCCCTCCCACCAGCGGGCCTGTCTCCAAAGCACACAACAGCACTGAGACAGGGGGGGGGGCAAGGGCATCATTTTTACTCCACCTTTTCCTTCACCACAACACACAATTTGTATTAAATATTTCAAATATATTAATTTTTAAAAAGTATTAATAAAAAGCGACCAAAGGACACAGCCGACAGAGTGAACAAGGAAGTTTTCTGATGGCGGGGGAGGGGAGGAGAGGGAGCTCTTCAGGTGATGCACAGCTGGATGGAGTATCCTGGATTCTTGCAAATGTGGAAGGGGCTGAATAGAAAAATATACTGAATTTTATCTTGCTGGGGTGGGAGATTAAGAGCAGGATACTGTGAGGCTTTAAATATTTTTGGTAACCCCCCCCCACCTCAATTTCCAATTGCGTTTAGTCTTTAAGGAGATTTTCTGGCTTGGGGTAGCCAAAGAGGACAAAATCAGCCTCGTAAAGTTTGTAGAGCTGCTGCCTCCAGGCCAGAGGGATCTTGGCAAACCAGTCCTCCTCCCAGCTGCTGGCAGTCCTGTTCCGGTAGCTGGGGGGGAAGCGGAGGAGCCTGTCCACTTTGAGAAGCTGCAGCAGGTGAGCCGCGTCTTCGTTGAGGGTCTCCAGCTTCCCGACAAAGTCATAGTCTATCTGGCACGGGTGGCACAAGCGGTAAACCTGCCTCCAGTGCTCGTTGAAAGGGGCCATCTTCTCTGTCCGGGGGTCCAGCAAGTACTGGATGAAGTCTGAAAAGGAAACTTTGAGGCCGGCCCGGAAGGCCTCACTAACAGAGGTGGGGAGGCTGGTGTGGTTGGAATAGAGCTTCAGCATAGGGATAGCAAAGCGCCGGTAGAACTCCTCATTCTCCAGCTCGAACTTGCTGCGGAAGGCAGAGATGAGCCGCACGAAGGGGTCGCGTACAAAGAGGAACTTGGTGTATTTCTTCAGCTTGATCTTCATGAGATGGCGGGAGAACTTCCCATAGCGACGCCAGAACTTGTTGAAAGTCAGGTGGGTGCTGGAGTTGTGGACGTGCTCTCGGGGAATGTCTAGGGGTTGCCGGTACGGGATGCCCTGATCCAGCAGGCTCTCGCTCAGCACGATCATCACCCGCTTCCAGTTGGTGCAGGCCACCTTGGGGACATAGCAGTAGATGATGCCGTGGCGGTCGTCCACAATCAGGTGGTTCAGCTCGTAGTTGGGGATATCGTCGAAGGAACGCTCCTTAGTAGGGAAGGCAAAGCTGGAATTGGCACAGAACTCCTGCAGCGTCTTCCGCCGCTCAGCCTGGAGTTTCTCCTGATCCAGGCTCACTCTGGCAACACGGGTGGACCAGTCGTAGCCTCTCACATTCTCCTCCAGGTTGCCCAAGACAGGCTTGCTGGAGCCCTGCAACGGGGCCTGCTCCGTCTTCCTGTGCAAGGGACCAGTCTGCCTCAGGCCGGAGCTTAGCAGCTTCTCCAAGAACTCATCCACGTCCGACACGTCTTCGTCCTGAGTGGCAGTGGGAAGCGTGCCAGGGGCATGGGGCCTGGAGAAGGACGTGTGCAGGTAGAAATGAGCCGTCCCCACGTTGTCCCAGTACACGATGATTAGCAGGATCATGAAGACGGAACCCAGCACCACCGAGAGGCGGAACAGCCGTGCTCTGGTCATCCTGGCTGTTGCCAGGGCCGCCACTTCCTCCGCAGTTCACCTCAGCCTCTCACTGTGGTGCGTGGGATACCACATGATGCTGCTGACAAGGGGCCTGGAAGAGCACAAAAAACAGGGTCAGTCTCTTGGCACTCTGAGGGTATGTCTACACTACAAAGTTAATTCGAACTAATGGACGTTAGTTTGAATTAACTTTGATAGGTGCTACACTAACGCTCCGCTAGTTCGAACTTAATTCGAACTAGCGGAGCGCTTAGTTCGAACTAGGTAATCCTCATTCCACGAGGACTAAGCCTAATTCGAACTAACTAGTTCGAATTAAGGGCTGTGTAGACCCTTAATTCGAACTAGTGGGAGGCTAGCCCTCCCCAGCC